CCAGTACCGAACCAGGGATTCAAGCAACAAAATGTTTTTCATCTTGTGAAAATGCATTTTGTCAAAGCCAAGAATGCCTATTGCATGCAAGGTTTAAAAGAGCTAGGGCAGTTTTAAATAACGTTAATCCGTCTCCACATCTCTCACATATGTATTGTATCTAACGTAATCTATGTGTGAGATAGACTGTCCAGGCAGTGGCTATCTATGAGCCTGTGTGCTTGTTATTAAAAACAATTGTTTGTAAGCATTTAACAACTTAACATTACTAAGACTAAGACTGCCTTATTGTTCCTTACGGAAATTTGTTGTGATTACAAGAACTCTTTTCTCATATAAAGACAACACAACAGAAACATACACATAAATACAACAGACAACATAATGAGTTCATTCAGCGACTACACACAGGTATCTTGGTGCATTTCATGTTCCCTGATCAATGAGTGGCGGTGATAGAGTCTGACCGAGTGAGGTACGAACGAGTTTTTGTACCGCTCCGTTTTTTGTTTTGATTGACAGCAGTCGCCCACTTCGCGACGACCTGACGTAGTTCTGATGGAGCGGGTGGCCGTTGTCTGCCAAGATTTTTTCGATTTTTCTTAGGCACTTTTGTTCAAAAAGTTTCTTTTAATGTGGTAATGTTGTGAGTGTAATTTTTGATGCTTTTTTAATTGTGTTTTCTAGACGTCGCAACAGTTTAGATGAGGCGTTGTCTTGCCAACAAGTTATTTCGTATGTTAGCATATTTTGTATAGTCGCGCCGTAAAAAGTCTCAAGGATCTTTTTGTTTAGTTTAAAGCTATTGAGATTGTATAGAAAAAAGAGTCGTTGGGCTGTTTTTTTTTCAGAGTTCCAATGTGGTCTTCCCATGAAAGCTTGTTGATGATAACGCCTAGATATTTATATGACTTTACTTGTTCTATAGATGTAGTGTTTATTTGCAGTTCACGTATAATTTGTTTTTTCTTTCTAAAATCTATTATTGGTTCTTTAGTTTTTGTAACATTCAGTTCTAGAAAGTTGTCGAGTTGACGATTTGGTGTTGTTGACTTTAACATACTGGGGGCGTTGGGTTAAAAAGTTTAGAACCCATGCTTGTAAGTAAGGGCTTACATTTAAGTTACTCAGTTTGTTTATCATTAGATGTGGCTGTATGGTATTGAAAGCCAAGGAGAAATCTACGAAGAGGACTCGTGCATATGTTTTGGGTATATCGAGATGCTTATAAAGCTGGTCCAAAAGCAATAGAATGGCATCCTCAGTTCCTCTAGCTGCTTTGTATACAAATTGGTGAGGATCTAGGCTGTCATTAACTTTTGCCACAAGTTGTTTAAGCATATATTTTTCAAAACATTTCATAACAATAGGTGTTACTGCTATTGGGCGGAAATCATTTAAGCAATCTATTTTTGGTTTCTTTGGCACTGGTATGATCTCAGAAGTTTTCCAGATGTGTGGAATTACGCACGTTTGCAATGAGAGGTTAAAGATGTGACAGAAGATAAAAAAGATTTGCTCCGCACATAGCTTGATCAGCTTGCCACTAATTTTGTCTGGTCCAGAAGCTTTTGTTACGTCTACTCTTTTAAATAACAAGGTCAATTCATCCTCAGTTACAAAATTGACGCAGGGCTTTTGTTTTCCTTTGGACAGAGTGTTAAAAAGTTCTTTGTGTAGATCAACAAAATCTTCTTTGTCAAATCGAGAATAAAAATAATTTAGTTCGTTGGCGAATTTCTCATCATCATCCACTGAAATTCGTTCTCGTTTTGAGGCGCAGCCTGTTATTTTCTGTAATCCCTCCCAGCATTGTTTTGAGTTATTTGCAAAGAAATTCTCTTTTTTTCTTTGTATGTTTTTTCCCCTTCACTTATTGCTTTTCTCAGTTTATTTTTAGCATCTATAAACTCTTCGTTGCTAGCCTTATACTTTGTTTTCTTTTCAGTAATAAGGTGTTTGATTTTTTTGGTCATCCAGGGCTTATTGTTTCCATAGACTTGTATTGTTTTTGTTGGAATTGTTAACTTCTCGCAGAATGATAGATACGAGTTAACAGTTTCTGTTAGTTCGTTTATGTCTGGACAGTTTTCAATAAAGATTTCCCAGTTAGTTTTCAAATGCATCCTCGTAGTTTTTCTACAGCCTCTTCAGACCACATCTTGACCGTTTTTATAACTCTCTTTGTAATTTAAAGAGTAGGTTTGTAATTTGGTATAAGATGGAGGTATAAGATGTGGTCAGAATGTCCAAGTGGAAACAAACTTTTACATTTGTAAGGCTGCTTAATGTTTACGTAACATTTGTTAAACGCTCTATCCTGCCTTGTGGGGAGGGAGACTTACTGGCAATAGTTTGAGTGTGTTGTCAATATTCAAGTTGTTAAAATCTCCAGTTACGATAGAAACAGAGTCTGGGTGTTTTGATTGTACATTGTGAAGCACATCAAAAATTATTTCCGACAGTATCAGCTGTCGGTGGTATTTACACAACAACACACACCTGGGTGAATTCTCTAGGCAAGTAGTAAGGCCTAAGTGTGACACACATAAGTTCAATGTTAAGGTCACAAATTTTATTCCTGATGTTCACAATCTTGGCGTTGCAGTATTTCTTGTTTATATAGATTGCGAGTCCTCCTCCTTTTGATTTCCCACTATTAATTGTTCTGTCTGCTCTATTATCGTAAAATTTATCGAGATCTACAGAACATTCGGGTATCGTATCATTGAGCCAGGTTTCAGTAAAACACATTAAGGAACACTCTCTAAATTGATACAGATGTTCACAGCAACCTGTTAATTCTTCCATCTTATTTTGTAAAGACCTAAAATTGCCTGTTACGATGGGTGGAAGGAAGCCTCTTTTTCCTCTTCTTCTACACTTAACTCGATGTGTGGAAGGAAGCCTCTTTGTCCTCTTCTTCTACACTTAACTCGATGGGTGGAAGGAAGCCTCTTTGTCCTCTTCTTCTACACTTAACTCGATGGGTGGAAGGAAGCCTCTTTGTCCTCTTCTTCTACACTTAACTCGATGGGTGGAAGGAAGCCTCTTTGTCCTCTTCTTCTACACTTAACTCGATGGGTGGAAGGAAGCCTCTTTTTCCTCTTCTTCTACACTTAACTCGATGTGTGGAAGGAAGCCTCTTTGTCCTCTTCTTCTACACTTAACTCGATGGGTGGAAGGAAGCCTCTTTGTCCTCTTCTTCTACACTTAACTCGATGGGTGGAAGGAAGCCTCTTTGTCCTCTTCTTCTACACTTAACTCGATGGGTGGAAGGAAGCCTCTTTGTCCTCTTCTTCTACACTTAACTCGATGGGTGGAAGGAAGCCTCTTTGTCCTCTTCTTCTAGACTTAACTCGATGGGTGGAAGGAAGCCTCTTTGTCCTCTTCTTCTACACTTAACTCGATGGGTGGAAGGAAGCCTCTTTGTCCTCTTCTTCTACACTTAACTCGATGGGTGGAAGGAAGCCTCTTTGTCCTCTTCTTCTACACTTAACTCGATGGGTGGAAGGAAGCCTCTTTGTCCTCTTCTTCTACACTTAACTCGATGGGTGGAAGGAAGCCTCTTTGTCCTCTTCTTCTACACTGAACTCCTATTCCTCCTCTACGTCCTCTCTTCTTACGTTTTGCACTAGGGATTTGTTCGGTTAAAGCCTTATTAAGTTCCTACATACATCTCCTATTTCTCTTTTTTTTCTCTAGCTAGATCTACCAAGTCAAAGCATGTCCGCAAGTCTGAGGTTGGTATACAGTTACATGGCTCTTTTTTATGTGGCCTCAGCTGACATTTACTCTGCCATCAAGAGCTACTCACCAGGTTGTCAGTTGACACTTTCTGGCTTCTCTCAAAATGATACCCAAGCCGACTGCAGCATCCTGACAGCCAACCAAGATGCTTTCTATAATGAAGTCCAAGTAGGCTTCTGCACGGAACAAGAACTTGAGAACCTCACGGCGACGGTTTGTGGTAGGAGTTCCAGCGAAAAGTCCATCAGTGATGCTAAAATCCACTTCTACAACGCATTCAACCTTGTGTCTGAGAAGTGTCAGAAAAAAAGTATCGACTGTGTCTTAACATCCATAGTATCGTTAGTTTTAAAGCAACAAGAGAAGTACTGCTTACTTATGAACTTAAGTGACGCCTCTACAGAATGGTGCTATACTTCTGGGGCTGACGCTTGCGAGCGATCCGAATACGAGCAGCTGAAAGAAGCCGCCTGCGCAAACAAAAAGACCAATGCTGATCAAAGATTTTCGATGGCTCTGATGAGTTTAAATCCAGTGTGCCGGCAGCAAATCAACAAGTGCATCAGGACCAAAACGCTGTTTATAGTACGTCAAAAATATTGCGATGTTGTCATTTCTCTACAGAATACTGACAGCCTGAACGAGTGTAATGGTCAAATAACTGCTTGTGACCCATCGGAATTAAGATCATTGGAACATGCCGCTTGCAACGCAATAAATTTGGCCTGGAGTTTTACCTTTGCTTGGAATCTCAATGCAATATTGCTGAGCTCAATTCTTGTAGTGTATAGTCTAATGTGAACTGTCCTTTATTTCCCTTTCTTTTATACTTATTCCTTTATTTCGATAGTGTCTAGGTAATAGTCTGTTAAAACTAAAATAGCCTGTTTTATTTAGCTGTGATGCTATCCACATTTTGTGGGTAATTTTGTGTTATTTAGAAATACTGAAAAGCTGTTTTATAGTAATTTAATAGATTTTGTTTCGTTCTCTAGAGTTAAGACTTTATCGTTTCTCCAATATCTGTAGGGCAATTAGTTAATTATTTGTGATGTTCAATGTTATACTTAAGTTAGGCCAGTTATGAGATATTTTTTAATGATTTGCAACAGAACATAGACTAATGTACTTGACCAGTGTTTGAGATTAAGATCTAGTATAGGTCACAAATTAGAGCTCTGGATCAATTAGACCTTAATAGAAAGCGACGGCCACGACATCCCTCCAAGAGAAGACTGGCCAACTGGAAAAGGAGAAAGCGACACCCGCAGAGAAAACTGCAGGTTTTTAGTTGGGAGCTCACTCCTTCAAGTCAGCGGCTTCCACCGATCAACTTCCACATGCACTGACAAACCTCTTCTACCCTTGCAATGAACATGAATCTGTTCGAAACGAACAATGCTAAGAAGCGGGCAATGTTTTAATTATTTTCTGCAATGATTTTAGTGGTGCGAAGTAAATAACGCGGGACATAGAGAAACTGGAAATACTGATACTGTGCATATTGAAGTTAGATTTGTCTATATGTTTAGTCTGATATTAAAGCTGTGTTGTTGTTTTTTTCCTTGCTGTTGAGTTGCCATTGATTTATCACAATATTTAAAGAAAACGCATAGAAATATCTCACCTCACCCTACGCCTATCTCTTTGTCTTTTGGACCGTTAGGAAACCAAACAAGGTCTGTTGACCGTCTTTCTCCATTCCTCTCTGTCTTTTGCCTTGGTTAGAATCTCTTTCAATGTCAGACCCGTCCATGCTGTTGGTTAATATTGAAGTACCAAAAGAACGAACGTGGAATTTGTGTCTTGCACATTTAATTCATGTCTCATACGACCTAACAACGACAAAGGAACATAACTCAACTATAGCAAGTTATAGCCTACATACTTTTATATTGTCTTCCCATCGCTGTCTCTGTCTGCCTCTTCTTCTTTTCCTGCTACTGTTCCCTGAAGGAAGATCTTTGCAAACCCCGAAGACCTTGTAATCTGGCCATAGAGTTTAAGTTTGCCCCAGGAAAACCTGCAGACTCATCACTATGTCCAAAGAAATTAGAATGAATATGAGGATATGAAATCTCTGATCGGTCACCTTTCAGCACTCCACTGTGATAGGATTAAAGTATTACGATGAGACTTAGTCGGACATAGAGAAAGATGGGTCGAAAATCGATTATAAATGCCAAATTGGTCAGATGAAACAAAGGATCGCGATCTTAAAAATAGGTTCTTTGTGATTGGCTAATCAGAATATCTGCCCGAAGGTCGCACTCTTTGTAGAACAAGAAATGGCTGGAGTGGTTAAGCAAATACATTGTCGAGTTAATAAAAAAAAAATAAAAGTCTTTTTCCATAAACCACGTGACATCTAAACGTCACCATCAAGGTGTCCACAAAGTTAGGTAGCCGACAAAAGATCTTGATTAAAACAATGACCATGTCTAGCACTCAGGTGGCTAGAAAGCAAGAAATAAAGATGACTTTATATTAAAGAACCAAGGCTGATTGTTTATGTAGGTACAACGTGTAGTTTGTACTGAAAGGCTCTCGGGGTATTTGAAACATAATAGATACTGGGTTTGATTGATCCCGTTCGTGATAGAAGGTCTCAACACTTACTTTAAAGGGCACACTTTGTAGGCAGTTTAGACCAATAGCTCATTGCCACGTCACAGGTCAGTGCATAGGTCTTTTATAAGGATTGGTCTTGATTTGATGCCCCATCACCAGCCTGTATCACCCGCACATTGCAAAAAAAGGTTCAAAGCTGCAGTTCCCCTTTGAGATCTATAGGGTATTTTATGTATAAGTCATCTATTTCTGTGGCCTACGGTTAAAGAGAGTGTATTGTGGCCAGCACAATGACCAAGCGCTTTTACTTTTCCCCAACTAATGTCAGGTAGCCATTCGAGCTGGGTTGACTAGAGGCGTCCTAAGGATCTCGAAATTAAAAATCTCAATCTTCAACAGGATTCGAACCATGGATTCACCACTTAGCCACCGCGCCTCCATTACAAGGCTTGTAATTCAGGGAAAAAAAATGATTTCCATACCCAACAGGGTAGCTAGCTCTCTAGATGACATTGAAGATTCACTTACTATCGTTTTACTATTTTCACTAAGAAACAAAACATGGATAGGTGTAATGAACATTTATTATGTAAATTACATTTGCATTAGCCCCATAACAAAGGGAACAATTAGTGTAGCCTCTTCAGCTGTAACACTTCGACACACAGAGAACCAGAGGAAAAAAAAGAGGAGGAATAAAAATTATTTTTTGTAAATATCCTTTTTCAGCTAGTCCTTTGATAAGGCGGCTGTATTTGATTAACTGCATCATTGTGTCAACACCAAGAAACCCGAACTCGTTTACTCATGAACAAGAGAATTACCTTTGTAGCTATTGAAGAAAGAGTAACTAACTATGAGATTTATATCTATTTATAGTCAAAGTTTTTTCCCAATACTGTGTAGCTATACACTCAAAACACTCGCTTAATGGACTTCTGAACTTTTTGGCAATTTTAGAGGTAAGTCTTGTATTTTATATAACATTGTATCTGAAGCAGTATCTCGAAAATAAGTATGCTCTAAAAATGCAATTTTCGGTAAGTAAAAGTACAAGTGTGATGTATTAACGAAAAACTAATATTATGTGCCAGTTGTGTGCTTACGGTCTTTACTTTTTCAAACAATAGATATAGTAGATTGTAGTATTCATTGTAAAGGTTCACAGTGTTACGTATCTAGGTATTGTTGTTTTTTTTCTGACCTGTTGCGGTCGAGAGACGGGTAGGTTGTCTGCCCCTTGTGTAATAAGTTTTTTTTTCTTTTTTATTCGTCAAGCCACACAGACAGTGACCGGTCCTTGACCTGTGTGTGTACCTCTGGTTGAAAGGAGGGTGTTTTTTTTTCTGTCTCTTTGAAGAGCGTTCTAGATCTGGGAAATTGATGACGTATTTGGTTCGAGAAATTCCTAGATTTGTCTTGAGATCGACGCGCGGTAGATTATATAAAGACCGCCCGCGTGACGTTGACGGACAGACATACGGAGACAGCCGTGAGACAGAATAGCGGAGACATTGCGTGACCCGTGCGTGGTATACCAATCGATCGTGTAAGTTAAGATTTTTTTTCTTTTTCAAGGCCTTGCTTGTATTTGTAATTATATTTTCAAACTCTTGTATTGTAATATTTTTACAAGCCATTTTTGTAAAAGGGTTTTGGTCAACCCTTCCATTTTGTATTGAGTTATATTATGATTAAACATTAAGTTGATATTTTACCTTCCGATTTCTTGTGTCATTTTTTTTTTTATTCATTGTAAGTCTTTGATTAAATTCAGACTTTAGATAAGTGACACAACTACCTTTTTCTATTGTCACGTTCCCCTAGGCAAGCCATTTAAAAGTAGAATTCAATTTGTAATACGTGACAACAGTAATTTGCATAAATTTGAAGTCAGTTCTACAGTGCTAAAAAAAGTACACAAAACTATAACTTGATTTAGAAAATGCATAGTCTATCAATAATTTTCTATTCTGCACACCTGGAATAATTAAAACATTGCTATATTGGAGAGCTTTCGCGAAGGCCGGTGCCACACATTTCAAGGTCCAAAGAAGAGCCATCGCAATTGTTATTATTGGAATCAAATTTTTAATATCTTTCGCTTGAAGCACAACTAATTCTTATTTTTAGTTGGCAACTGTGATCGTTGAAGATCGTTCAATATGGCGCTCACACGTTGTCTTTTTTGTCAATTTATTTAAAATCTCTTTCGATCTTCTGCTATCATTTTCTTACTTTTTTTTTTTACAAAGCTTCTATCAACTCACTCAGTGTGTCTGTCTGTCTGGTAAAAAAAATTTGTACACGTGATTTCTGTTAGTTGGGAGCCTATGAACATGAACGGCTGTATAGCTATCTTTATATTTCCATAGTCTCGTCCTAGCTTTCACGCTGTATTCGCGACAGCTTATAAAGGGGACTAATTCAGCTTATACAAGCACTTCTCAAGTACAATTTCTTTCCCTTGTTTGAAATACCAAAAAAAAAATATATTACCAAAAGTTAATTAACCAATTTTTTTATTTTTTTAAAACTGATTCTTGTGTTGTAGGTAAAAGATACTTGTGCAACATTTTATCTTGATCCGAGATTGGAGGTGGGAGAAATAACGTGTACAAACTTTTTTACCAGTCAGACAGAGTTGATATAAGCTTTGTAAACAGACTGTATAGTTTCATTACTTCCTCCTTTAGTATGGATGTTGCGCGTGCACACAGAATGAACTCTGGTAGAGTACATGCAGTTCTTAATTACTTTTAAGTCACTACCTCATTTTTAAATATAAGGATTTGAACCACAAAAAAAAAAAACTCGATACAGAGCCATTGAATATTTTCAAAAGTGCGTTACATGTCATAGCCCGTGGTTTGGAAAATACCACCTAGGATTTCTGTCTATGCTGCAGATGTAGATGTAGCCAATAATCTCATTAAGAGCATTTGCTTCAATTATCTCCCTTTTATCTTTATTCACAGATGGTTTTAAGAGTACTTATTGTAATTGGATCACTTTTCTCACTGCTCATGAATCATGTCATGTCGAATACAACGCAACAAGAATTGCACGCCATCTTCAGCACCTATACCCCGGCATGTCAGCAAATACTTAACACTCAGACCACTATCGATGCAACAACCTACTGCGATACGAGGTTCCAATTATGGTACGAAGAGCTTGTACACATCGGGTTTTGTACTGAAGAGGAGTACGCCAACCTAACACACACCGTTTGTGACTTGAATGTCACAGTCAGACCGAGCAGTGAAGCGACGACAAACTTTTATTCAGCTTTAAACTTCAATGTCTCCTCAGACTGCCAACGAAAAGTTATCAGCTGCGTCCTCAGTTCTATAATATCAATAATCTTGAAACAACAGGAGCAGTACTGTTCTTTTGTAGCTGTAGATTCGCTAGATCAAAGTTCAGAAAGCTGCCTCACGACACCTGTGACCACAGAGAACTTTGTCTGTTCACCTGCTGACTTTTACATTTTGAAGAATGCAGCTTGCTCCAGTAACAAAACCGATGTGGACCAAACATTTTCGAGGGCATTGCTGAGAACTTCCACCGAGTGTCGACTGAAAATAGCCAACTGTAGTGATGTTTACACCGAGACGTATTCGTTTGTGGCACTAGGGAAGTACTGTGCCTTCCTGACTTCTGGAGAAACGCTTTCGACCTTAGAAACATGTTTTACAGAAGAAAATGCGTGCACAAGAGAGGAGTTTGATTTACTAATTAATTCAGCCTGCCCTAAAGGTATGTACACAAATATATGAGTCCTTTAAGAAATATAAAAGTTTCACCTATTTAATATAGCTTACAATTATGAACCTTTTCAAGCAATGACAGTATCATTTAGTATTAATTAAAATAAATGAGAAAAAAAAAATGTTTCTAGGATTCGACGAGCAAAACAAAAAGAGAGAGAGAAAACTATAAATTTATTCGCAAATTAAGTTTAAATTCGAATAA